CCCTGAGAAGCTCTAAACCACTTCTTAGCTTACACAGGGCTGCAAAGGCCTTGGGAGAGGGTTTGGCGGGATGTAGGTTTCCTAGGGCTGTAGGGAGTTTCAACCCTCAGAGCCCCTTAAACCCTAAATCCTCAACCTCTCCACCCTCTACCCCCTACCCCCCCCCCCCCCCCCCCCCCCCCTAAAACCTAAACCTAGACTAAACCCTAACCCTAAACCCTAAACCCCTAAACCCTAAACCCTATACCTTAAACCCTAAACCCTAAACCCTAAACCCTAAACCCTAAACCCTAAACCCTAAACCCTAAACCCTAAACCCTAAACCCCAAACCCTAAACCCTAAACCCTAAACCGCCAGGATCCCTTCTTCCTAGCGCTCTTCAGGGCGACCTTCGGCCGCCTCAAGGACTTCAAAGAGGCGCATGTACGGAGGGTTTAGGGTTTAGGGTTTAGGGTTAGGGTTTAGGGTTTAGGGTTTAGGGTTTAGGGTTTAGGGTTTAGGGTTTAGGGTTTAGGGGGCGGGGAGTTTGGGGTGTAGGGCTCAGGAATAGGGTTTTAAGGTAAGTTTAGGGTTGAACTAGGGTTTAGGGAAGAAGGCTTCGGGTTTAGGGGTTTTAGGAGTTTAGATTGTTTGTCGTAGTCCTCAAGACTTAATGGCAGCTAGTTTCGACATGTTTGACTGGACCGCCACCGCAGTACCAATCTAATCTCATGCTGAGATAGTGATAAGATAACAAGACACCCACGTACCCTCGCGATGAGTTTACGCATGTCATGATAGGTTGTCATATGTGGATTCTCGCATAAATGCTATTCATGTGTGTTTTCAGAATCGAGCTAGTCGCTTTCTATCTTTCATGGCTTATCAGACATCGTTGCAGCTCAAGCAATCCGGACCACCAGAATGGGTTCCTGATCCTCTTCCCTTCTTATGATTGGGTAAGGTTTTGGTAAAGGGTTTGGGGATCAGGGCTTTAGGATCGAAACCCCTAGAGCTCAGGTCGTTTCGCTCAAGGGCAGGGGAGAACCCTGAACCCCTAAACCCTGAACCCTAAACCCTCAACCCTGAACCCGAGGCGGTGCGTAAGGTGGTCGATGTATTGTCTCAGGCTGACGACAGAGGCATCCTTGCAAGAGCCCCCAAGCCACCGCAAGAGCTCTGCGAAAACAACAAAGGTTCCATGACCAGAGATGAAATCCCAGCCTCAATGGCTTCGTGGTAAATGGAATCTGCCCGAGAGCCTGCTGAAGAAGTGCTGGGATGCCCACGAGTTGCAAAACCGGGATGAAATTGATCCAGAAAGATGAGGATTCCTGAGCTTGCCATGTAGGTGTAGGGTTTAGGGTTGAGGGGTTTAGGGGTTTAGGGGTTTAGGGGTTTAGGAGTTTAGGGGTTTAAAGGTTTAGGAGTTTAGGGGTTTAGGGGTTTACGGGCTTAGGTGAGGGCTAGAAGTATTAGGGTTTGGGGGCTTAGGCTAGGGTTGATAGGGTTTCGGGAGACAGGGTCCTTGCCAGAATAAACTGTGCAAACGGTGCACCGTCGGTAAGACAACTAACTGACTAGGTGGCCATGAACCACATGTCTGAGGGGTTGAAAAAAGGAGCATCTAGGGCTTAAAAGTACTGTGGGTGACTCCTCGATCGGGGGCTTTGGTGCAGGTGAAGACGACGGGCGCGAGGTACCTCTCGCCTTTATCGGCGATTCTCTGGGCCTGACGAGCGTGAATGCGCTGGTGGCCCCGTGGGGCACGCAGCTCGTGCGCGACGAGAAGGAAGCCAACGTGAGCGGAGTGAAGACCACGGTGTGCAGCGAAGGCCATGTTCAAGTGCTCTGGTCTGATTATATAGGGTTTAGGGTTTAGGGTTTAGGGTTTAGGGTTTAGGGTTTAGGGTTTAGGGTTTAGGACGATCCTAAACCCTAAACCTTTTTATGCAGCTTGCAGGCTTGAAGGGGCTTCTGCGATTGAGAGCGTGAAGTCCAGGGCCCTTGGCCCCAGCCCGAACGCTCCAAACGCCGTAAACCGCTAAAGCCCACTTGACCCGCTTAAGTCCGAAAGCCCCTAAACCCTAAACCCTAAACCCTAAACCCTTAAACTCCCCTGAGCCTTTACCCTTCAAGCAAGAGGCGAAGATCGATTTCACCAACGAGATGATCGACTGGAGCCGCGCCCTGTCGAGTTCGGGTGCAGGATCTTTGATTCTGAGGTTTAGGGTTTAGGGTTTAGGGTTAGAAATTGAGGTTTTGGGTTAGGTTCACGGATACTGAAAAGTAGGTTGCGCAGCAAGGTAACCTACACAAGAACTCTACTTACCGCTTTTACTACTCCTGAACCTCCCAGTGAAGATCCCTAAACCCTAAGCCCTAAACCCCAAACCTTAAACCCCAAACCCTAAACCCCAAACCCTAAACCCTCGACCTCAACACCCATCTAATCCCACATGTTTCGCTTGCATAGGGCACTAAGACCCTGCTCCGGGAGGTGCCACAGCACCGAAGAAGATTCTGGACGTAGGCGCGGGGGTTTAGGGTTTAGGGTTTAGGGTTTAGGGTTTAGGGTTTAGGGTTTAGGGTTTAGGGTTTAGGGTTTAGGGTTTAGGGTTTAGGGTTAGGGTGGGCCGAAGAAGCCCAAAACCCTACGTAATTCTGAGCCCTAAACCCGAAACATCCCTAAGCACTCCAAGCCACATCCCTAAACATCCCAAGCCCCGGGCTCCAGAACCCCTTCCTCTATACCCTCTGAGCCTAAACCCTTGTGAGATTTTCCTGTACACAAGCGCCGAGTTGGATTTCGTGTAGTGCAGAAGCTGTTAGACGAACACTTGTATAGGCATGAGCAAGCATGCAAACGTCAAATAGCAGTCTTGAGACAAGTTCCTGCTTGACAGGCGCCTTGGGCTCAATCGGAAAAAGCAAGCTACGTAGTCTAGTCACTGTGACTCCGGCCCCAGTACCCCGCTTCTGAAACTGGTAGCGGAGCTGTGGAGCTCAGTGACACGTTTTTCATTCCTCGCAGCAATCTCGTCCGGAAGAGAGAGCTAGGGGGATTTGGGTGTGAGCCAAGAAGCCGAACGAACATCAGCACTGCCAGTCTACACTAGACCACCGCACTGCGCAAATCCGACACCATGTCGGTAGCTGGGTTGAAGTACGACCCTGTACTTAGCCTTGACACCCCAGCAGAAACCAAGTCAGGAAGCTACATTTACAGCGGCTCCGCAGCGTCCTTCCACGACTGGGAGTTTCGCACACGTGCCCGTGTATCCCAGCATCGTGAGAGGCAGCGTCGAGAGGTCTTGAAAGACCCTCGTTCCAGCCACCAACTCAGCCGTTCTGCATCCCCACGAAAGTGGGTAGGTGGAGGCATAAGATCCCCGGACCGTCACACAGGTGATGAGAGCAGTGGGATGGCAGCTAGCCCTTCAAGTGCCCCAGGACGCCGGCGCGGCCGCCAGGCCGGTGCGGAGTCCATGTCGTCAGGAGATGGTGGCGAAGAAGAGCAACAGCCACAAGATTATGAGGTTGAGGACGACGGGCAAGCTTCGGTTGAGACTGAGCCTGTCCCCGCACTCGCTTCGGTCCGCGATAGTGATCTTGACATGTCTGATGCAGTTCAGAAGACGCTGGAAGGCCTTCGTGGCGACGCCTTCCTTATCGCCCGAGACATAGGTCTCGAGAGGTTGTTGAAGCATGACGGCATTGATCTCCTCATTCAGAAGGTCAAAGAACAAGCATTTCCCTTGCAGGGGGAAGAGGCATCGGAATTGTTCAGGCAAGGCCAGTTGCTGACAGGTCCTTTGTCCAAACAATCAGGGGAGCCGATGTTGTCTTACATTTCCCGGCGAAAGCGCTGGTGGGTTACCCTAAGGGAATTGGACCCAGAAGTCAGGTTGTCAGAAGCCACGCGTGCCAATCTCCTCGTGGAACTGTCTGGTTTGTCGCGCCAAGAGCAGCTCATGGTGCGTACCGCAGCACAAGCCGAGACAGTAGATGAGTATGCGCGCGTATTGATCAAGCATCATAGCGTTGTGCATATGCGTGAACGCCTGCTCGTTGAGAAAGACAAGCCTGTCGCTAGAACATGGTCCAAGCCCCGGTGGGAGAATACCTCATTTCAGCAGAAGCCTCGGTACGGTTACATGACACAAGGTTTCATGGAGGTTGACGAGTATGAGTACCAGGAGCCAGAAAGTCAGGCCTATGTAGCCGAGGAGCATGAGGTCGAGGAAGACGAAGGCGAATGGGTTGATGACAGTGCATTAGCCTTGGCTCTCAATGCATATACAGCTATGCAGACAGAGCTTGGAGGCGAGCCAGGCGAGGAGCACGCCGAAGCATTGCAGCTGGCATATGCAGCCCAAACCACACTTGCCAATGTGAAGGGTAACAAAGGTAAGGGTTTTGGTAAGTCTGGCGGTAAGAAGGGTGGTAAGGTCCCTCCTTCCAATCTTTCTATCGCTGACAGGAAAGCCAAACTTGCCGAGCTGAAGGCTCGCAGCCGATGCTTGCGGTGCGGCGCAATCGGCCATTGGGCCGGCGACGCTGAGTGCAGGTTTAAGGGTAGTCCCGGACGTCCTAAGGGTTCCAGTAAGGGTGGTCCAGGTGCAGAGAAGTCCGCCTCACCCGGGAAGCCCGGAATGGCATCCTCCTCACAAGCCTACCTTGCCGCACTGAGTGACGCATCGGACGATGAGACCCCTGCCATTCACCTTTCCAACACTTCAAGAGACATGGAGGGCTATCCCGCTGAAAGGAGCGGAGGACCCTCAGAGCGTCCTCGTGTTCGCAGATCGGAAGCCACTGCCATGCGTGACAGCCCATCGCCAGGATCTGACACCTTGTTCACTTTTGGTCATCACAAAGGCCTGACGTATGAACGAGTGCTGCACACCTATCCTGGGTATGTCCTTTGGGGTCAATCACAGAAGTGTCCCTCCAAGTGTTTGGGTGATTTCCTGAACTGGGTGCACGAGCACTATGTGGTAGAAGACACGGACCCCATAGAAGTGCGTAGAAGAGACATCCCTCTTAGTACGATGATGCCCCCAACTCCCTTTGCCGACCGCGCAGCCAATGCCGAAGGCACCGCCTCATCCAGTACCGGCTTCCGGCCCAAGTGCAGAGGTGGTTGTAAGACCTTTAGCAAGACAGGGAGCAATTCGTACATAGACATGCGCACATGCAAGTCCTGTGGTACGGTAACCAAAACTCGCAAGGAACAGGTTCAGGCCGACCCTACACGCACGCATGCCCAGGTAGATCGTTCAGGTTCCAGCAAGACAACCAGCCGAATCAAGTGCAAGCTTTGTGGCATGATCCTAGATGAACTGCCCCAAGAGGAGAAGAAAGCTAGGGACGCAGCCGCAGCACAGCTGCGAGACACGAACACCCTAGACTTCGACATGATGCGCTCTATAGTGGGCAGAACAGGGGATCGAGTGCCAGAAGAAGTGGTCGTACCAGCCCTTGAACAATTCAAGGAGGCAGTTGAGGGTCACTTCGTCACCGAACCTTCGATAACGAGGGGAGACTTGTTTGCCTACCTTCAAGAGGCTCTGGACGATCATGCGGACGACGCGAGCCCCACGAGCGCGAGTTGGGAGATGGCTTCATCGGGAAGAAGGCCTGGTACAGCAATGGTTGCCATGCTTGCTGGACCACACGAGGGAGTCACAGACACGAACCCCAGTTTGAGCAAACTCCCTGTGGTTAACGTTCGCACATCCCCACATGTTTTCGCAGTCCTGGATGAAGGGTGTAACTCAACGGTTCATGGCGAGGATTGGGGTCACGAGAGCATGTCCAAGTGTGCGAGCTTTGGGTATTCCACGAGGTTTGTGAAGGAGACTTCCAAGACCTTCAAGGGTTTGAGTGGTTCCACTTCCACGCTTGGGGCCCGAACCTTCCCTTTCTGCCTTTTGCCCTTGGATTCAGTTGAGGGCGAGGAGGTTTCCCATAGGGAAAGATTGTGTGGGGCGCTAGACTCCCATGAGATCCCTGGTGGGGCACCCCTTCTACTATCGCTTCATGCCCAGAGTCAACTTGGGATGGCAAAAGACCTACACTTAGGGACGTGCTCCGTAAGGCTCCCGTCGAACCCTGACAAGACCATTGAACTCAAGTTGCATCGGACATCAGACTCAGGTTTGCTTTGCATTTGCCTAACCGACGGTCTCTTGCAAGGGAAACAACCCCGCCTTGTTCGAGGATTTGCGATCCCACCGCCACCTGCAGGTGCTGCCCGAGCTATAGCAGCAGAGGGTTCGGATAAGTGCGCAAACAGCAAGGTCACCAAACGGAAGGCCTCTTCAATGCAGACGCACTCTCTAAGTGAACCCCAAGGTGAGAACACAAATTTGACAGCAGCCATGGCCATCGCACCTTCACAGCGCCCCGCGCCTAAGGCGAGGCCTCAGCAGCTGAATTCAGAGACCTTCCCCGCCGAGGGAGGAGACAATCCCAAGCACGCAGCGGACATTTTTACCTTCGGCTACAACTTCGAGGAAGCCGTCGAAAAGATCCGTAGCGCTTGGGAGCCACAGCATTTCGCTGACACATTTAGTGAGATGCGCTCGGCAGAGGCTACCTTGAACTCGGAGGCGCATTCGTCGGCATCTTCTTTGACCTGACATACTTGCCGAATGCCAGGAGTTTGGATCCTGAGCTCGCAGATCGCCGGCGAGATACGAGTCTCCGAGATCATGTGGGTTCCCACCCTTCTATAATGAAGGCGATAGCTGCAGACCCTGGATTCCTGCAACATTGCAGAGCCATCCGTTCCAAGGTGAAGAAGTCAATGGAGCAGGGCTACCAGGCGATGAACATTAGCGTTGTCTGCAAACAAAACCGGCACCGTTCCGTGGCAGGAGGCATCCTCATTGAGCACATGCTACTTCGCGTTGAAGGACTTCATGTTTCCATGCAGCACTGCAACAGCGAACAGTCCTGGCCGCTCATGGGTGGATCTTGCCGTGGGCATTGCAGCTGGTGCACGCATCGCACAGACGATGCGAAGGCGAGCTACGAACAGGTGCTAGCCGACTTTATCAAATACCTGGACGGCGATGTCAAGGAGAGCACCACATGCATTTTGCACTGCGAGTCAGAGCCTGAAAGGGCCCCGGGCACAGCTCCGGAGGAGATCACTGACCTGGACGCAGACGATGAGGTGGAAGAGGTTCCGATCGATCCGCTGGAAGAAGCGCCTGGAGAGGGAGAGTCAGCGTCGCAGGCAGCTACTCGATTGGGGCTTCGTGGCAAGCAGCACACCTCCTACGTGGCGAAGTGGGACCCGAGCTCCCTGACAGGGAGGCTTCATCAGCAAGCGGGCTCAGGTGTGTTCACTGCCACCTCAAGTCATCTGCCAGTTCAGGCCCAGGTACAAACCCTGGAGAGGAAGTTAGCGCTGCGCGAGAAGGAAGTCGAGTCACTTCGAAGCAAGCTCCGGGACGCCGAGCGGGACAAGCAGGAGGCGGAACGGAGAGCGGAGCGTGCAGAGCAGCTCCTGCAAGATGC